TGTATAAGAAACAGATTTTAGTTGGAACTATATTGGCTACTGTCATTGTCCGACTGACACATCACTTACCCTGTGACGTAATAAATATGAATGCGTGCATTCCAGGAAAACGCGCAATGTTTCAGTAATGTTTGTGAGAGAGGGAAAGCGATTTTAAAGCACAGAATTAAGGAATGACATTATATGATAAAGAGGTTATCACGCTTGTGTGTTTGGGGATGGTAAATATCCTGTATTAGGAATAAACACTATGTATTTAGCTCGCCAAGGCTCGCTAAATACAATGTTTATTCCTAATGCAGGATATTTACCATCCCCAAACACACTCGCGTGATAACCTCTATATATTGGTGTTATCAAAAGGTTACTCTCAGCACAGGCTTCAGCATATAATTGAGTAGAATAAATCATCAAATGAAATCATTCAGATTTCTCTGCCTCCTTGGCAACCCAATGCATAATGTCTCTTCTGTCATGGTATATATCCTTGACCCCATTCGGGGGCCCAGTCGTCTGAGGCGCCACAATTCGGTGTGAAGAGTTGCGTCCCTTGGGCACACCAGAAACCTATGTTTGAGGGTTCGAATCCCGGTTTGCCCCGATTATGTTTCTAGGTTTGTCAGCACCATACCCGTGCTCATGGGTTTCACTGAAGTGGTAAACATCCGAGACCTACATCACTTCAGGGTTTCCTAACACATAAAGCTGACACGCCGTGATATAAGTGGAATACTGTTAAAAGCGTTGTTGAAAACTCACTCCCTTTTACTCAGCTCCTAGGGTGTAGATATTTATTTACCTCTGTTGTAGACCCGTGAAGATCCGGGTCATAATTGGTCTTCTGCAACCCATTTTTGTCGTAAGTTGCGACTAACGGGATCAGGTGGCCAGACTCCCTGACTTGGTTGATGCATGTCGCCGTGTCCCAGTTGTGTAGATTTATGCTCATGACATCAATCACAGGATTGTCTGGTCCAGACTTGACTAGTTAAACCAATGTCATATAGCAGGAATATTGCTGAGTGCAGCTTTAAACATCATACATGCAAACATACAATCAAATCCAGGTGTGATTCCCCACATGGGTACAATGTGTGGAGTCTAAGTCTGGTGTCCCCTGCTGTGATATTGCAGAAATATTGCTGAAAACAGCATGACAACCTCACTCACTGACTCACTCACTCACTCACTCACCCACCCAGCCCACTCACTCACTCACTCACTCACTCACCCATCCACTCACTCACTCACTCACTCACTCACTCACTGATAATGCTAAAAGATAATGAAATATGTATTTCTGTAGAAGATTCCCCTGATTTTCTCTCTGAAAGGAAACTTCACTTATTGATGCAGTCGATGTGGATAACGCCGATGCAGTTTAGTATGACACATTAAGTGTTTTCATCAATATAAATGTCACCAACAACTACCACTCCTGATAACTTAAACATGGTTTTCACTGACAATTGGCCGACTTTCTGTTTTTACAAGATATTCAACTCATTTGTTCCTTGTATCAACTCGGCCTTCAAAAGCCATTGTTTTTAGACGCCTAAAATATGAATCAGATGACGCCTTGAAGTTTATTTCTAGAAAAACGATTATTGCAACGTGTTGTGAGTCTCGGGTTACGTCTGGACTTGTGTGTATACCGACACACACTGAAACTGCATAACAATTTTAACCCGAAATGGCAAGATGTTTTTTCTGTGCTCAAGTCCATCTTGAAACATATTAATTGAGATTTGAGCCCGTACGGCGACATTGATGTGTTGGTATCGTCTGACCAAGATAAAATTGTAAGGAAATTAACATAAAGAATATTTTCAGACATCAAGCATAGAGAATGTACTTCTTCTAGATGTCTGTATGAAGAGTAGACATTTAAAAAGGAGTTTATTTACATATGCAAAGATTCACAATGTGTGCGCATATGAAATGAACACTCTTTCTTTTTATAGGGCTTTTTGGAAACATTTGGTAAACTTCTGATCCATTGAACAACTTTTGAAATGTGAGAAGCATTTTGAGTAGAATAATTCAGTTTATATTGCTGGTTATGGTAATGTCTGTCACAGTTCAAGGCCATTATGTAGTAAACAGAATGTTCCATCATTTCTCAGACCGCCTCCGTGGTCTTGTGGTAGAGCGTCCGCCCGGAGAGCGGAAGGTCCAGGGTTCGATCCCGGGCCGCGTCATACAAAAAGACGTTAAAAGATTGTACTTGTTGTTACCCTGTCTGGCGCTCGGCATTAAGGGGCTAAAACAAGGACTGGTCGGCTCGGAGTCAGTATACTGTGTCTGAGTGGGGTATTCATGTTAAACTGCGGCATGGTATCTCAGTGAGCTAGCACTATAAATCGGCATCAGTCCGGACTAGTACAAGCAGCCACACACACACATACACGTGCATGCACGTCGCTATATAAGTGCAATAATCTTGGACGCGACGTTAAACCCAATTTCACCTCACCTCACCATCATTTCTCAGGAAACACCGTCTTATGTGCTGGAGATGCTTGAAACATTATTTGTTGTTAGTCACTTTTTTTAGCTCACCTGACTGAAAGCTCACCTGACTGTAAGCTCACCTGACTGAAAGCTCACCTGACTGTAAGCCCACCTGACTGAAAGCTCACCTGACTGAAAGCTCACCTGACTGAAATCTCACCTGACTGAAAGTTCACCTGACTGAAAGCTCACCTGACCGAAAATCTCACCTGACCGAAATCTCACCTGACTGAAAACTCACCTAACTGAAAGTTCACCTGACTGAAAGCTCACCTGACTGAAATCTCACCTGACTGAAAGCTCACCCAACTGAAAGCTCACCTGCCTGAAAGCTCGTCTGACTGAAAGCTCGTCTGACCGAAAGTTCACCTGACTGAAAGCTCACTTGATTACAACCCGGATCGTCTAAATTTTAGAGCTTCACTATGCCTGGGTTGTCTCACCATGCATGAATGGTTTCTCCATGGCTCAGTGTGGTACGTGTCGTCATTGACCCGTATAATCTGTTTGTGAGAGACTGTCAATGGGCATAGGGGGTTTGGGTTGGGACATCTTGAAATACTGCTACCACATAGAGAATAACAGCTATGTATTTATTCAAGTGCTTAGTAATGGAATAAGATTAGGCTTAAAAAAATTGGTTCTCAGGCAATGTTTTTTGAAAATATAGTGTGGGTGGGCTGTGTCTTTTTTTGTCTTTTTTTTGTTGTTGTTCAAACTAGTATGTAACCAATAAACACTTGTGTAATCAATAAACAATTGTGTACATGTACAATCAACCTAGGAAAGGGCCTCCCTACATAAATGTATTCCACCGTTGGACTTGAAATATTTGAGGATTTTTTAAATTTAAAAAAAGAAATGGAAATAAAAACAAAACGTGTGGCGAACATTATGATGATGGGGGCGGTGCCTGAGAACCAAGACTATTTTTTTTTTTAGCCTTAAGCCTAAGTCAAGTGAGTTTATGTTATGGCCTGCTTGTTGGGCGTCTGTAGATATCTTCTCCTTAGAGACCAGGTTGAATCTTCAGATGCTTGTTCCCACCAAGGATGATACCTGTGTTTTTTCAAGAGGTTCGATTTATAATTTTGATTTGCCCACCTTGGCAGCTATATTTAAAACGCTATTTATGGCCATTACATTGTTTCTGAAATTTGGTATATGTGTAGTTCATTTGAACATTTAGATGTTTCATTTTTCACAAAATTTTAGATTTTGACCCTCCAGTTTTGATGATGCTCCTAACTTTGCTTATTTTCTCACACTGTACATGTTACTCTAAGACTGTAGGTTTGAATACTGCAAGGGTATCAACCCCCCCAAAAGTTCTAGAATTTGTATTTTACTAAGGAAGTGTTTTCCCCAATATAACATTTGTTACATTTGACCACTTTCAAGATGGCATGTGTATTCATAACTTTTGTGCCGTGCAACAATGTTCTAATATTGTACAATCATTCTTGTATATTTGGAAACACTGTGGAAATGTCACTCATTCAAATTTGGTCTCTGTATTTATGTAAAAATGTTTTCCAAAGACCAGGTTCGATTCTCCAGGTCCGATGTGTGAGCCCATTTCTGGTGACCCCATCATGATATTGCTAGAAAATTGCTAAATGCGGCGTTAAACCATACTCATTCACTAAAACATGTTAAAAAAATTCTGTATGTCCAGGTGAGCTAAAGTGCCGTGGCACTTTTTGGTCAATACTTCATCTGTCATATCAGAGACCTCACCAGGTTGGAGATGACTTCATCACGTGAGGTGTTTTTCTAAAGGGTTTCTCCAAAAATTGTATATAGATTGCTACAACAGTTTTTTAATAGCAATACTCAAATAAGTTTAGTTAGATTTAATTTTTTACCAGTAACATGTTAGCTGATTGTGTCTGGTAGTTTCCATGAACTTAGCAAGTGGCACATGTTCTCCAGCATCCATGCTTGTTGTAAGGTCAGCTAACTGGGGACATTAGATGGCATATTGAGTATTGATATGACCGCCAGGGAAGACCAACTTTAACTGTGACTTGGCTGTAAATGTGTTACCTCACTCCAATGGATAAGGGAGAAGTGGAGTAGCCCAGTAGTTAAGGTGTTCGCTCATCACACGATGGGACAAGGTTCGATTCTCCATTTGGTTATAATGTGTGAGACCCGTGAAGATTCCGGGGTAGAATAGGTCTTCAGCAACCCATGCTTGCCATAAAAGGTGGCTATGCTTGTCGTAAAAGGCGACTAACGGGATCGGGTAGTCAGGCTCGCTGACTTGGTTGATGCATGTCATCGATCCAAATTGCGTGGGTCGATGCTCATGATATTTATCACTGGATTGTGTGGTCCAGACTCGATTATTTACAGACCGCCATCATATAGCTGGAATATTGCTGAGTGCGGAGTAAAACAACAAACCAAAAACCATACTTATTGTAATTGTGTGAATATTGCTGAATGAGTGTTTGAGGTGTCTCTCCTCTGTTGTCTAGTTCCACGACGGAGTGTACCTGGTGCTGCTGATGGGGCTGCTGGAGGGCTACTTCGTCCCGCTACACGACTTCCACCTCACACCAACAGACTTTGATCAGAAGGTAGGACAACGTCACATATACATTTCATCATAATATGTGTTTCCCAAATGCTGATTCCAGAGCAGAATATATATTCGCCACGGATGTCGTGAAGTGTACCCAATGGTGACTCCACTGCGGAATATATTTTCTTTGAGCTTGTTAAAATATTTCCCATGTAATTCGAGGCCAGAATATATGATTGCATTGAAACATTCCTGCAATGGACAGAGCAAAATGCTAGTTACTTCAGAGAGAGGGATCCCCATGTTGATTGGAGGTCAGACTATATGATTGCATTGAAACATGCCTGCAATGGACAGAGCAAAATGCAAGTTACTTCAGAGAGAGGGATCCCCATGTTGATTGGAGGTCAGACTATATGATTGCATTGAAACATGCCTGCAATGGACAGGGCAAAATGCAAGTTAGTTCAGAGAGAGGGATCCCCATGTTGATTGGAGGTCAGACTATATGATTGCATTGAAACATTCCTGCAATGGACAGGGCAAAATGCAAGTTAGTTCAGAGAGAGGGATCCCCATGGTGATTGGAGGTCAGACTATATGATTGCATTGAAACATTCCTGCAATGGACAGGGCAAAATGCAAGTTAGTTCAGAGAGAGGGATCCCCATGTTGATTGGAGGTCAGACTATATGATTGCATTGAAACATTCCTGCAATGGACAGGGCAAAATGCAAGTTAGTTCAGAGAGATGGATCCCCATGGTGATTGGAGGTCAGACTATATGATTGCATTGAAACATTCCTGCAATGGACAGGGCAAAATGCAAGTTAGTTCAGAGAGAGGGATCCCCATGGTGATTGGAGGAGACTAGTACTTCATCTTTGTGGCAAGAGGTGACTGAACTTGGGGTCACAAAGGCACCGTGGGGGAGTCTGGGCTTGTACTTGATGCACGACACTTCTGACAGGCTGAAGGAGTAAGAATGAGATGTTCTTCTTTGTCAGACAGGCTCATGTACAGATACAAGATCCTCGCAGCGATAGCCCATTTAGGTTGCTCTCTTTACTATCGCTGCCACCAGTCAAAGATGATACTGTACTGACACATATTCACAGTAAGAAAAAAGTACAGCTTTATGGATAACAACTTCTGGTTTATTCTGGTTTATTTGTAAGTTATCTCTCTGACAGGTTATCCATAAAGTTTTATGTTTTTCTTACTTAATTGCCAACTTCTAGAATGCCAATCAAACAGTTACATATTCACAGGTTACCACACTGATTGGTTATGTTGACACCAATGATGTTATTAGCAAAGGGAGATAACTTCAACAGGTATCACACTGATTGGTTTATGTTGACACCAATGATGTCATTAGCAAAGGGAGATAACTTCAACAGGTATCACACTGATTGGTTTATGTTGACACCAATGATGTTATTAGCAAAGGGAGATAACCTCGGTATCACACTGGTTGGTTTATGCTGACACCAATGATGTTATTAGCAAAGGGAGATAACTTCGGTATCACACTGATTGGTTTATGTTGACACCAATGATGTCATTAGCAAAGGGAGATAACTTCAACAGGTATCACACTGATTGGTTTATGTTGACACCAATGATGTTATTAGCAAAGGGAGATAACCTCGGTATCACACTGGTTGGTTTATGCTGACACCAATGATGTTATTAGCAAAGGGAGATAACCTCGGTATCACACTGGTTGGTTTATGCTGACACCAATGATGTTATTAGCAAAGGGAAATAACTTCGGTATCACACTGATTGGTTTATGTTGACACCAATGATGTCATTAGCAAAGGGAGATAACTTCAACAGGTATCACACTGATTGGTTTATGTTGACACCAATGATGTTATTAGCAAAGGGAGAAAACCTCGGTATCACACTGGTTGGTTTATGCTGACACCAATGATGTTATTAGCAAAGGGAGATAACTTCGGTATCACACTTGTTGGTTTATGTTGACACCAATGATGTTATTAGCAAAGGGAGATAACTTCGGTATCACACTGATTGGTTTATGCTGACACCAATGATGTTATTAGCAAAGGGAGATAACTTCAGTATCACACTGGTTGGTTTATGTTGACACCAGTGATGTTATTAGCAAAGGGAGATAACTTAGGTATCACACTGGTTGGTTTATGCTGACACCAATGATGTTATTAGCAAAGGGAGATAACTTCAGTATCACACTGGTTGGTTTATGTTGACACCAATGATGTTATTAGCAAAGGGAGATAACTTAGGTATCACACTGATTGGTTAATTTTGACACTTGTGATGTCATTAGCAAAGGGACGTAAAGCAATGCTGTTGTTATTATAGAGCATGTCATCAGCACTTGGAGAAATTCATGTTGAATTGTTGGACAACTTTATTGAAGTGACTATCAGATGATACAAGATGCCTGCTGTCATGGCACACACGTCTGCTTATCGTCACTGCATAAGCTGTATGATGTACACAAATCAAAGTGCGTGGTACAGACTTCTCTTCAGCATTCATAAAGCTGTTCCAATGGGGGAAGCATGTGTAGTGTTGCATAGATAACAGTGAAATTGCCACCAGACAGCTGGCACAGAGGTCGCAGTAGTAACAGAATAAACGTAATGAAGCCGGGGAACTTTTGGTGTTGAGATTAAACATTCATATATTTATCTTTAGTTTCTTTCATTTTCAGCTTCATATCTCTTAGCTTAGTTATTCTTATCATCAGTGATAAAAAATCTGTATTATGTCATTGTGAACTTGCCCAATTTGTTTGATCAGGACTTGATGATATGGACTTTTTAAGGTTTGGTTCCAAAAGAAGATTTTGCAAGTTTTTTGGTTTTTTGGTTTGCTTGTTTAATGCTGCACTCAGCAATATTCCAGCTATATGATGGCGGTCTGTAAATAATCCAGTGATTGACATCATGAGCATCGATCTATGCAATTGGGATACGATGACATGCATCAACCAAGTCACCGAGCCTGACCACCTGATCCTGTTAGTCGCCTCTAATGGCAAGCAGGGGTTGCTGAAAACCTATTCTAACCTGGAGCTGCTTTGACGGAAAATGTTGATGGAATTGGTTGCTAATTCTTTTTCAACGTATTGGTCTGACCTTTCAGGAGGAAGTCCACCAGTAGGATTCCTTTTGAATCCAAGAAAACCAAAGCCGTTAGATGTTTCAATGCATTGATTGTTGTTTATAGTCTCTGGCTGATAGTGGCGAACCCAAGACTTGTTCATGGTTACAAATCGCAGAATCAGATGATGTAAAGTCTCACGAGAGATAATGAACTTGGAGCGTTTCTGATCAGGAGTCAAGAGGCCTTGGATCCCATCATGCCCTGTTCATTCCTCAGAATGTTCTCAACTCACTCAGGGGCACGGGTGGCCCAGTCGTCTAAGGCGCTGCAATTCCCTGTGCAGAGTTGGGTCCCTTGGCCACGCCAGAAACCTATGATTGTGGGTTCAAATCCTGGCTTGCCCTGTTTATGTTTCTAGGTTTGTCAGCACCATACCCATGCTCGTGGGTTTCACCAAAGTGGTAAACGTCTGAGACCTGCATCACTTCGGGCTTTCCTCCCACATTAAGCTGACACGCCGTGATATCACTGGTATACTGTTAAAATCGGTGTTAAATCCAACTCACTCACTCACTCACTCTCAACTCTCTCAACTCTCTCAACTCTCTCATGAGAGATGCCTACTGAATTGGCTGTGTGTCATGTGGTGAGTCGTCTATATTCATATCATATAGTTTGTCAACATTTTCCTTAGTGGTGGCAGGGGCGGTCGGGTAGCCTAGTGGTTAAAGCGTTCGCTCGTCACGCCGAAGACCCGGGTTCGATTCCCGACATGGGTACAATGTGTGAAGCCCATTTCTGGTGTCCCCCGCCGTGATATTGCTGGAATATTGCTAAAAGCGGCGTAAAACCATACTCACTCACTTAGTGGTGGCAGTTGAAGGTCTTCCTGATCATGTTCCCAGCCCTCTCGCCCTCTGGAACTCCACTGCCCACCTCCTAACAGTGGCAAGGGAAGGAGCATCACCCACCCTAAAGTTGACACCATGTCCGCATGGATGGCTGATGGAGTTAGCCCTCTCAGTTGGACATATTTGATGACAGTGCTGTGGCCAGTTTAGTCCATTTTCATCAACAGAATACCTAGTCACTTTGATGCCGCAGAAATTTGTCACCTGGTTGTGTATTGGTTGAAATTCAGTCTGTTGGCATGGAAAGTATTGTACTTGATACATGCGCACTGTTAAGGGAATACTATACATCTTTCGTAGTTAGGCTCAGATCTTTTCAGCCACTTTTATGCTCTTATACGTTTTGGAATTAATGTAATTTACTTCGGAAATACTTTCATTTGAAAAAAGACACTCAAAATTCACAATAGCAAATACATTAACGTCTGACCTTTTCACTTAGATAATTCTTTGCCTCTTAAAATGATAATTTATTGCGAAGATTTTTGCTGTTTGGTATAATACAGCCTTTCATAACAGCTTTGCATGGGTGACAGTCAGAGGTCTGTCCCAGTCCCAGTACAAGCAGCCTTTGTGGCAGTACAAGTACACTGACAATACTTCTGTGGCTTCCTGGGCCTGACTCACCCAGTGTTGTACAACAGGACATTACTGTTTTGACCCACACTAGGAGTCGTTGGCAGTCAGTCAGACAGTTGAGGTGGCATTCTCAAACAGGAACTGAACTGGAATTTACTTCTCCCACTTTCTCAGTGTCGATGTATGGTTAAGAGTAAACCTTTAAGTCTAATCTATGATTCAATTGTTGAGGTATTTCCGGTATAGTGTTTCAGTTATTCTGAGTTGCAGCTGTAATAGAAGCTTGTCATGAGCTGGGCTGTGAGGGCTTGTGTAATGTGGGGCTTATCATTCAGGGTCAGGGGCCTCGGTTGTCACAGGTCCCCTCTACACTACAAATATATTTGTCATTCTAATATTTTTTCATCTTTTATTTATTTTGAATCTCTTTTGTTATCTCAAAATAGAATATGCCAAT